GAGGGGGCCTGACGCCCCCCGCCCGGCGCAGGCCCCAGGCTTCCCCCAGCCCGGGAATGGTCTGCCCTGTAGGAAACGCACACGCTCCACTATTGTCTCATCAGCACAAAGTTCTGCCACACTGCGGAGAAAGTCTGGAGGCTCACGATGACTCAGACGCAGATAATTCTTCCCCTAATCGCACTGAATCACGATCCCAGCGGCTAGTGGTCGCCCCCTCTTCTCAAGGTCTCAAGCTGCCGCAGCTCGGGTTCCTGGAGGCTGTTTACGCGCGCACACACACGCACGCATCCATACGTGCAGACGTGCTCAGGATGCAGGTCCAGCCGGCTCACGCACCTGGGCACAGAGCCTCAAGCCAGATGAAAACCTGGAGACCCTTCCTGTGGTCCCAGATTTGTGTGCGTTCCTGAACTTCCTGAGGAGTGTTTCTGGAAGTTCGGGTGCAGAGTATCAATACACGAAGTCCCAAATCGAGAGCCAAGGGTATGCTGCAAAGAGAACAGCTGCTCTGCTGAGTGGAGCTCAAACGCGATTGTCACTGTGGCTGTTTACTCGTATCCTTGAAAGTTCATCTCGTTTTGCTTTTGTTCTTAAAACTTCATTTCTTCGCCTCAACTACTCTACGTGGGACGTAGTTAGTTACAATAAATTGAGTCTGGGAATAGAAATCCTAATTTAACTCCAAAGAGCTTTAATGGTACTTGGCAGGGAGGGGCTGGAGGGGGGAGGGGAGTTGGAAGCGGAGGGGGGAGGGGCCGGGCAGCGCGCCCCGCGATCCGCGGTGACGTAGGCCAGGGGAGCCGTGGCCTGCGGAGGGGCAATACTATCTTCTCCCACCAGGCTCTTGGCCATATTGTTCTGCTTTTCCGCGTGATAACTCCGCAGTGGAGGTGGATTCTGGCCAAGACGCCAACGTGGCTCTGCTTAACAATCGGCGCCGCAATCCGGGCGGGTTACCTTTCGCCGTGGCATTTCTCCATGCCCGGCGCTCGCTGCTCTGCTCGTGCAGCCCGAGCCCTCCCCAGCTAGTGGCATTTACAACGGAAACTCCTTCAATATAGACGAGCTGCAAAGGGCGGTGCTGGTGCCCTGGCGGAGCTGGAAGTCGTCGGTGCGGGGCCGTTCTGCCTGTGTGAGGTTCTCACGTGCGAGTGTGTGTTTCACGGGAGGAGAGGGGAGCAGTGGAGGGAAGAAGATGAAGACGAGGAAGGATGCGCGGATCACGAAATGTAAGCGCGGCGCGACTAACGATCCGCACCAATTTGGAGAGCAGGCATGTGAAAGGTCATGGACAATTGTTGCTGGTTTCAGCCTGCGTGCCTAAGTGGGGTGTATTCTTGAGCAATCCCATTTAAGTCTGATTCACTGAAAAGTATTGAAGTGCCCACAATTCATCACAATACACAGTGAAAACTCACAAATGAGAGTGTTGCCCAATTCAACTATTAACATATAAGTAAGTAGCATGTGTAGACATTGCATGTGTGTTATGTACTCTACAACAGACTAACATTCTCATGCCATGAATCTTAACAATTTGGGGTAGTATTTTGAAATGGATGAGTCGGTGTAAATCTACTATATTCATCTGCATTCTTGGGTCAAATTTCAGACTACAGTGATGCACTAATAATTTCCATGTGTTGAAAATCCACATGTTAGATCAACAAATGTTAAGCAAACTTCCATTCTGCACATAGTATTGTAAAACCTCCATGGCTTTTCTCTTCTCGCCTGGGTAGGGCCCTTCTTAACCCATCCACGTGATTCCACTAAGGGCTTTGTCTGTCACAAGAATATTGTGCTTTTAAACGTTCTGATTTCCTTTCTTCCACATTTCTCTACGATGCACACAAAGTCTGAGAATGTAATGTTGATGGATGAGCAAGAGTCACATTCTGTGCCAGTGAGGCAAGCAGAGAAAAGGGCAGCCCCACTTTGTTACTAAGTTGAAGTGTATTTATATCAGTTGTAGCAAAGTTCTGACCTTTGTTTACTGATAGAACACCACTCCCATCGTGTTCTAGACACCAAAAACAGGTATGAAATTGTAATAGCCAATGTGTTCCCATGCTATTCCTATGACATAGATAGCATTGCCAAAATTTCAACTGTTTAATAGCTTCACACGTATACAGTAGCCACGAGAGATCCAGGACCCTTTCTACACATAATACAAGGCCCTGGGTTCCCTAGGAGTGCGTCTTCTGTTTTGAAATCTTTAGGTATATGACAGTCCTTGGGCAGAGCAAAGTCAGCAGTATTCATGGTTGGTTTTTGGATATTTATAGCATAATAACAGACAGTAATTCTGGATGATGAAATGGATGGGGGAAGAAAACACTTTCCCTTGCCATTGCCTAATGAATTATTTGCTCAGCATTTGGGACTCTGCTCCTTCCAGCAATTTGATGAGGTAACCTTCAGTGATTGGAGACATTTCGATAAGAACAGCTCTCGAGGGATTCTAGTAAAGAATAGCTAAGAGTAAAAGACAAACAAAAGGCGAAAAGAACCCTCCCCCCCAGAAAGGCCTTGCCTGTGTCCAAGACTGAATGGAAACTCCCACAGTGGGGCAGGAAGTCCCAGGAAGGTGCCTGCTGCCCACGCAGGTCAGGGCACTCCTTAGCAGTGAGCCCTACCTTAGTTCTGGTGAATTTATTAGGGTCTTCTAAATTACATCTCAGAAAGGAGAATGGCATGTCCCTTTCTGTCTTTCACTCTCCCAACTAATGTGAATTCACACACCCCTGAGGGGATTAGGGACAAATTTGATTTAAGTTGTCAACAAGTGTTCCTAGGTGGAGGGAGAGTGAGAAACAGGATTATGTTGTCTGGAGTAAGAAACATTTCACATATAAATGAAACTGGCCATTTAATTCCCAATATTTCAAAAATCAACGCTTCTTTTCTAAAATCTTTGCCTTTCATGCAGCCTCAAAACTCAGAGCCAGGCTCGGTGGTGGTGCACATCCCTAATCCCAGCAGCTCGGAAGGCAACTCAGCGAGCTCTGAAGCAACTTGGTGGGACCCTGACTCACAACAAAAAGTAAAAAAGGGCTGGGGATGTAGCTCAGTGGTAAAACACCTCTGGGTTGGAGACCTAGTACCCTCCTGCAAAAAAAAAAGAAAAAAACAAACAAACCTCTGACTACTGTATTGAGAAACACAGGGAAGGAAGCCTAGCACGCGAGCTTGGGTGCCCTCATGGGAGCTGAACACATGGCAGTCCCTCCGAGGCTGGTGAGGCTGGCTACAGCGTTGTGATAACACTGTGAGAGTCCTCTGTGTAGTGACTTCAGCCTCCTGGAATCTGAAGTTAACTCACAGAATATTTGGAATCTTGATTTGGAAGCTATCTCAGTTCCATTTCTTTCCTTTCACTCTGCAGGTGATGGACTGACGTAGTCATGAAATCGGTACCATGCATCTCTACACACATCACCTCTTATGAAGCTGTGCCAGACTCTTCATGTTGGCACCCAGAAGCTTGCCAAGGAGCCTTCTCTTGGGATTTACGCACAGGACAAGTCAGGGTCCAGCTGCTGTGGTTTGACTTAGGGTTGGGACTTTCATGTTCTTGTAGCACTTGTGGAAATTTGTTTGCCTCTCTGCAGAAGGAAGTCTGAAGCTACCTTCAGAGGTAGCCACCTGAAGATTCTGTGAAAAATGTATCCCTTTGCTGGAATGAAATACCTTGCTCCTTTTTCCCCATGGTGAAAATCATAAGAATTTTCCCAGAGAATCAGCATTTTTAACAATCTGTCCTTGTTTTCAATATAGAAAAAAAAAACTGCATGACAACACACCATTCTTACTGCCGCGCAGGTTTTCTTCTACTGATTCAAGCAACGACGTCACGTTTTCTCACCATTTGCAGTTTTTGGTAACTCCATCAGGACTTCACAGCAGGTAGACAACCCTCAAATCTGTTCTTAATTTCAACTTAACTAAAAGACTCTCAGCAACAGCTGCCTTCAGAATAACTGGTACAGAATTCCACAGATGTGGTTCATAATAGTTTAAAGAATAAAAGGAACTAGGCCCCAGAGCAGAATTCACTTAAGGAGAGACAAATTCAATAAGGGTTTCTCTTTTGAAAGATTTCCCATGTCTGGGAAGAGAGGGGCCTGCCTCCCTTACTCCCTTTTCTCACAGTCCCCGTTACATTAATTACTTTACCTACAGGTTGTGACCTGTTAACGCCCCGCATTTACAACAGCAAGACCACTGGCTCCCTCAGCCCTCCGGGCTCAAGGTGTCTCCCCAGCATCACTGAGTGTGTGTGCACATTTATTTAAACTTCTCTAGCAGAACTGAGAGAGAACAAATGAGGGAGCCGGCAGCCTGTCTTCCGCCGTGGGCAGGCCATGTCCGCCTGCAACGAGGCCAACAGGGAAGACGTGCTGAAGACTTTCGCGTGAAATCACACGGACACGTGCAGGCCAGCTACAAGGAGGGCAGAAGGGCTCTCCGGAAGCGATAGGAGTGATTGGACGGGTGGTCATGATCAGGGAGTCAGACACCGTCAGTGGAGAGGCTAGGTACCATTTAGGAAAGGACTTCTTTTTTTTTTTTTTTTTTTTTTTTGTGGTGCTGGGGATTGAAACTGAACCCAGTGCCTTGTGTCCATGAGGCAAGCACTCTACCAAATGAGCTCTATCCCCAGACCCTGGACTTTTTTAATACACATAACAAAATGTACCATTTTAACCATTTTAAAGTATACAATGCAGCATCATTAGGTACTTTCACAGAGAACTTCATCTTTCCAAACCAGCTGCACCTGAAACACCACCTTCCTGCTCTCCATCCCCTGCCCCTGGGGTCCAGGGGAGCGCTCCCTCTCTCCCTTCCATCTTCCTTCTGTGAGTTTTACTCTTCTAGGGACCTCAATAAGTGAAGTCCTGCAGCACTTGTCCTGTGTCACTGGCCCAGCATCATTTCACTCAGGATGACATCCTCAAGGTTCACCCATGTTATAGTAAGTAACTGGACACACACACACACACACACACACACACACACACTTTTTCCCCCTTGAGACAGCACCTGGCTGGGTGGCCCAGGCTCGTTCTCACTCTCAGTCCTCTCACCCCAGCCCCTGGTAGCTGGGATCATAGGTGTGTGCCACCTCACTCAGCAGCTGATGAAATTTTGCCTCCTTTAAAAAAGACAGAAGTGTGCTAGGGGCGCAGCTCAGCAGTACACCACTTGCCTTGGACGTGTGATACCCTGGAGTTAACCCAGAGCACTGCAGGAAAAAAGAGGCAGATTATAAATGGAAGCAAGAGCTCCTCCCCTCCAATAAAAAGAAAAAGATAAAAAATCTTATAAACTAGGCACTGAGGCAGGAGGGTCACAAGCTCATGGCGTCTCAGCAACTTAGTGACACCCTGTCTCAACATAAAAAAAAAATTTTTTTGTTAAAGAACTGGGGCATATCACTCAGTGCTAAAGCATCCTGGGTTCAATTTCCAGTACCAATGAAAAACAAGCAAGCAAACAAAGACCTTATTAATGGAATAGCTATAATCTTACCAAAAATAATCCTCAAGAATTTTTCTGCTGCTCCCTGAAATGGTTGGTTCCTTATCCAGATGCTCAGTGGATGCCCACCTTACTTCAGGGTTCAGCAGAAATCTGATAAGCCCCACTTTCTTCCCTGGTGGAAGCCAGCACTTGGGGAACCGCGTGGAGCCAGCCTGAGCCAGGCTTTGAGATGAGTCTCTCCGGGTAGCATTTTCAGAATTCATCGATGACTTACAACCAGGCTACAACCAAAAAGCAAAACAAAAGAGGAAACAAAATGTCAAGGCATATTTAAAAATCAGAAAATGAAGGCCAATGTAGAGAAATAGAAGAGCTGATCTGCCCTGCGCTGGAGCCCGGCTGGTCGGTGCAGAGCCTCCTCCAAGACCATGTGTCTCTCTGGAAACTGGCGCAGGCCAGGTCTCTGAGGCCACCTGTGGGTGCCCTTTGGGAAGCAGGTCCCCAGTGTGCCACGACAGATGGGAGCCAAGTGCCGCGTGGAGTTTTGTCAAGAGACTGGTGGTTTGCTCTCCAGTTCTGCAGCTCGTTGCGGGGTCTCACAATGGCTGTGCTTCTGTGTTAGGGTGAGGAAATGCTGTTAAACAGTCGCACACCAAAAAATCAAACATGTCACACAAGTTGCGGTGTCCCACGACAGTCATTCATTCACCCCACACTGACTGCCAGGCACCAGATCCAGTGCTCATTTTAAAAAGAATTTATTAAAGGCTTCCATGTGGCATCTGTGTTAAGAGCTGGTATTTCATGTCACTTGCTACGTCACAGTAGTCCATCACGAAAAAGCCACACTCATTCCATGCAAGGGATGCAGAAGGTGAGGCTCTGAGTTCACGGCCGGCCCAGGGCAAAGAGACGGCTGTGGCAGGATTAGGGGCTGGAGGCAAGGGCCTGGGCCATGGCAGGCTCTTGAAGGCAGCGGAGACACAGCTGGCACTCCGAGGGTGACCCTACAGACACCATATCCTTGCCATAGGTGTGGAACCAGCTCTCATGCCATTCACTGCCCAGCTGCAACACGTAGGTCACATGCATCTTCTGACTCTCTTCATCACCCACATCAGCATCTCTCACTGTCCACCAAGTGCTGCTGCCTTCACACACCCGTTGTGCAACACACATCTGTGCCAGAGCGCCCACTAGCTGGTAGAGACACAATCTCTGTGCAGGTCTTTTTCGCTGGGCACCATGGCCACACATATAATCCCGGCCACTCGGGTGGCTGAGTCAGGAGGATTGCAAGTTCAAGGCCAGCCTCAGCATCTTAGCAAGACCCTAAGCATCTTAGCAAGACTGAGTCTCAGAATAAAGATAAAAAGGGCTGGGACATGGCTCAGTGGTAGAACACATGTGGGTTCAATCCCTAGTGCAAAAATGGAAGAAAGAAAATCTTTTTCATTTAGTTTCTCAAAGGATTTGAGTTGACTTTTAAAAACAAAACAAAATACAAAAGGATCATATACCAATGAGAGGAATCAGGTCAAGAAAATGGGAGAAGAAAATTGGTGAACTCAGGGCCACCTAAGCCCAGCCCAACTCAGCACAAGCACATGGGTTGCGTGTTCCCTGTCCTATGATTGTTATAGATGGCAGAATTTGCCTCTGAGCTTCCTGGTATTCAAAGCAAAGAGGGAAGCACTATTCTTTACAAGACCTGTACTGTGTGTAGAATGAGAATGTAATAGACTATCTTCCCAGCAATACTGTTACAAAAGAAAAAAAAAACCTGGCAGTGTTCCTCATTCCAGTTTGGAAGCAAAACAATCAACCTAGAATTCAATAATAATTCCTACTAAGTATTTCATCTAACAGGTGAGAACCACACAGCTACTATGCCCAAGGAAAGTGCGAATCACGAAGTCGTCTCCATGGGAGTCAAGGGTGGTGTGTTTTCTCCCATATGTGGAAGCCGAAGAGAAAAAGGGGGAAGGGGATTTCCGTGACAGTAGAGGGGAGACCAGTAGAGCAGTGGATGGGGACGGGAGGGAAGGCGAGGTACTGGACAGACTGTGCCATGAGTGCGTCATGAACATCGCACAGTGAACCCGCCGCCTTGTAGACTCACAACGTTCCAATAAAAATAAGAAGTGCAGGTGTTGTCGAGGAACATCAAGGTGGACAACGGTGAGTTCTCTAATGACAGAGACCCCCAACCCCTGCCACGGTGCAGTCCCTGGTATTATCGATACCGTGAGTTGTCTGTCAGTTAGGACGTGGTGGTCAAGCGTCAGGAGGTGTGCGCCTGCTGTCCCCACTGTGGGAACACACGGAGTGAGGTCGCTTCTGGAGTCGCTCCTCCTTTTCTTCATGAGTCTTTATATTTTGTTTCAAAGACTGTCATTCACAGGTATCATCATGCTTAGCAGAATCCCGGAATCCCTGGAGCGCAGATATTTACAGACTTTCCTGTGGAGACCCAACAGAGATGTTCCCAGCATGCACAGAGCCGGCCCCTTCCTCCGAGGTGCCCTGGCCACTCATGCACGTGGGGCAACTTGAGGCCCTGTGGCCGAGCTCTGGTTCCCACAGGCCGCACCCTGCTTCTTCCTGTGGAATTCCAGAGCTGACCAGCTGGGCCTCTGTGACGAGGGGGCTTCCCGCCCAGCCCCTAGACTTGCCAACTCTGGGGTGGGGCGTCCTTCAAGCATCATAGTACCTGCTGCCAGGGCAGGATCCAGACAAGCACTTCAACCACTTTATTTCCTGCAGCTTATGCCCTCTGGCTTCTAGAAAGCCTTTATTTAAAATAAATACAGAAAAGATGTGTTACACTCTGATTCAGGATACAAGACAATCCTCCATTAAGTACCAGACACTGTTCAAACAAAGCTCATGGATGGACTGACAAATTTACAAAAGCCGGGACCCCAGAGGAGGGGCTGCCTCCTGCCTGCTCTCCCCTGGTGCTGTGCAGGCTGCGGCCCCAGGGCCAACAGAGGGGGGCTTGCCTTTCCTTCCCATGAGCCTCAGAGTCTCACAGCTCTGTAAGTCCAGGTGCGTAAAAGTGAAAGGGGATGCTGAAACTGAGTGACTCTCTGCCTGCCCATTTTTCTAGAAGATAAACAGTCCTCCATGTTCAGGGTGGAGAAGACAATACTCCACTCTTCAGCCGCTCCCAACTCCTCTTGTTCTCAATCGAAACTGAGCTTTTTATCTGGCTGTTAAAATCAGGCTTCACCAGGATAGTGGCTTATAGACAAAACCAATAATGCACTTCAATTCCAGATCTTGCATTCTTTAAGAAGCATTGTTTTATTTTATTTTGTGATGTGGAGTGGTGGGGGGGTTTCAATCCAGGGCCTACATTGAGCTACACCCCCAGTTCCAGGAAACTCTATGACATGATTTTACTAACATTTCCAGTTGTAGGAAACTTTCACGTGGACAAAAAGCATCATTTGCAAAGCCATATTGGTAAAGCATCACCTAGGTGATGTAGACTACTCACCTTTTCAGTGCCAGGAAATGTCACCTTATTTTTAAGCACTGTGGCATGCTCACCCAACGCTGGTGCTAACATTTCTGATGAAACTGTCTTTTGAGTACCTACAACAGAAGAATTTTAAAAACTAAACTGCTTTATATAACTATAACTATACTATTTCCATTTCCAAATGTCTGTCTCTCCCCAGTATTGACCATCATGCAATACTGCTGCCCGGTTTCTTGCTGTCCTAAATTACATGGAAGTTAATGGTGCAAACACCCTTTCATTTTAGTGCCCCTCCACTCTGGGGGAACTAAGTAGGGAGCAAGACAAACCCTGCCCATCTGCATGAGGGTGCTAGAGTGTGGATCTGGACTGTGGCCCAGGCCCACAGGTTTGAAGGTGTGGCCCCTGGCTGGGCCTTCAGGAGGCGGTGTCTGTGGAAGGAGGGTAAATCACTGGGGTTCCCCCAGGGGCACCGTGAGACCCTGGTCTCTCCTTCCTTTTTCTCTCTCTGGCAGCCATACAGCAAGCAGCCTCCTCTGCTAATGCTCCTACCATGGACTGAAACCTGCAAAACTGTGACCCAGAAGAAACCTTTCCTCTTTTTGAGTTCATTATCTCAAGTATTTGTTATAGGAACGGAAAGCTCACTAACACAGATGGTAAAATATTTGGTTACTGATAGAAAGTTTTAAAATGGCGCATCCAAAAGTTATTTCCGGGGTTGTGGGTGCAGCTTAGTCATAGAATGCTTACCTAGCATTTCTGAGGCCCTGGGTTTCACCCCCAGCATGGCGAAAGAGAGAGAGAGGGAGGGAGGGAGGGAGAGGGAAAGAGAGAAAGAGGGAAAGAGGAAGAGAGAAAGTTGTAAAAACCGGTATTTACTTCTGTGTTCAGAGACCCCCGTGACCTAACTCAAACGTGTTTTAAGAATCCCAGGTCTTAGTGCAGGGCCTACACCATCTGCCCCATGGTACACTGGGGAGTGTCCCTCTGTCCCTGTGAGCTTCACACTGAGGTGTCTGGAATCAAGTCAGGACAATGTCATGGACTTTTATTTTGCTCTGCATACTTTCTAAATTTTCTGAGAAAATGGACTCTACAAGATTTTAATAAGAATGGTGAGTCTAGAAACAAGATTTTTGTCCCAAAAATATAACAATGTCAAGCTGCAAATTTGTGAGGACTGTGCAGACTTAGCTTGTCCGCCAATGTCAAGTGCATGCATCATGAGGACAGCCTCCAAGTATGGAGTGATGTCCAGCAGCAGCTAGGAGGCCAAGGGACACCAGGAGCATAGTACAGTGTCAATGGAACCACAGGGCACGTGGCCCACAGTATTAACTTGGATGTAGCCAGGTACCCGGCATTGCCATGATCATGGTGAATGTCCGTCACTAATGTGACCATTCTGAGCACGAGCAGAGGAGGTGTCATTCACACTCACCTTGAAGCCCTGGCTGGCCTGAGTCCCCTCATGAAGGCACAGGAGCCTGCGGGCTTC